AAACAGTCCAAAGTCTGCCCTCCTGAAGTTGAAAGTCCAAGTAGTGGTTTTGCTAAGGCCCTTCTGACATCATTGGGAGTTGAAAAGACTGTAATTTCGTAGTCACTATGCCCAAGACAGCCTCTGCACCACCTCTTCTCCCATCAGTCCTCCTCTGTTTGCAAAGAGCAGGTCCAACGGTGCTCCTCCCTTTGCAGGCTCACTTAGCAGCTGCAATAGGAATTATGTTCCATGCACTCCATGAACCTCTTCGACTGTTTCCTCTCTGCCTTATGGTATTTCCAACAAACATCTGGCAGGCTGAAGTCTCCCACAAGAATAAAGGCTGCCCATCGTGAGACTAAATGGGCGCCAGCAAGCTCAGCTCCTCCCAGGATGGGATGAAACTAACTCATTTGAGCATTTGGCTCACAACCCTCCTTGCAAGGGCTGCCCCTCCAGGGCCACTCACTGCAGGAGATCTCCCTGGTTGGGGAGCAGCATCCGTAGGCTAAGCCCATCCCTGCTGAGCTTCCTCCCTCAAATTCTCCCTCCAAGTCCCTCCCTGCTCCTCTGCAAGGGGAGTCCAGTCCAGGTCCAGCCTCTGGGGAACCAGGTGGCACCAGCATGAAGGCTGTGCAATGGGCTCGGCCCTCAATCCCTATCCCTGATCCCATCCTGGCAGCTGTGCCAGGACATTGGGTGCTCTTCTCCAGTCCCTGGGGCTGGGAGCTCCTTCTAACACAGGCGTTCGGCTCAGCTTTGCTTAGGGAAAAGATCTTTATTGAGGCTTCAGCTTGGACAGGAGTATGTGGGGTGGTGTAGGGCTCGAAGGGGCAGAACAGGAACATATCCAAGCCTTGGAGGACCACGAGCTTTGCGGTGTCCCAAGAAGTTGAGGGGGCTGCTCTTTCCTCCAGCTGCTGCCTGGGCCCATCCCCACCCTGTCAGTAAAACACCTTTTCCAGGTAGGCATTCAGGAACATTCCTGTGGGATCCAGCTTCTCCCGCACGGCGCAGAACTTGGGGAAGGCCGGATACATGGTCTCAAAGTCCTTCCGGGTGCATGTATGGGCCTGTGGGGGAGAAACCCAGCAAGGGTTGCCTGTGGCTCTGATAGAAAAGGAGTGAAACCTCCCATGCCACCACCCACCCTTGAGATTCTTCCTGAGACCCTCTGCAGCCTCCAGCATGGAGAGTGACAGGGCAGTGACCCCCTGCCTCCCTCTCCCCACCGAGCAAGGGGGCCGTGGGTACCTTTGCCCAGTGTGGTCTCCCTCCGTGCTTCTTCATGATGCCCTCGTAGGTGAGCCAGTAGTTGAGTCGGGGGACATTCTTCCCATAGGGCCTAGGAAAGCGTGAGCTGGAGCCATTTGCACCCCCAGAAAACCTCCCGCTCAAACCCCGTCTTGGGGAAGCAGGTCTCTGGGATGGACATTGGGAACCTGTCCCAGGTGTCCCCAACAGGGGCTCTCCCCCCAGCTGAAGAGGATGGGATCCCAAGGTGCAACACCAAGGAGAGGAGAGTGGCAGGATGGGCTCACCTGTACATGATGATGTTCATATAGCAGCTGTCCCGACGGAAGCAGGGGCTGAGCCAGATCTCATCCCCCCGCGCAAAGCGCACCTCCACGGGGTAGTGAGCCACCATCTTGGGGTTGTTCTCCAGGGCAGCCTTCAGCTCCAGCAGGGCCTCCTTTGTCTTCTCACTGCCCAAGAACAGCTCCAGTTAACACTTGCATGGCCATGGACAGCTCCAGAGGGGCTGGAGCCCTCCCTGCCCTCCATTCCAAACCCCTTTCCAGTGCAACAAGCAGCTCCCAGCATCTCCCT